CGTGGCCGAGGAGGGGGGGGGGGTTGTTTATGTACGACCATCTCAGAAGTGTCTAGAAGGTGAAGGCCGATTGAGATGAAGTTACTTAACCTTGTTGTGTAACACTGGATCCACACGTCGTTTTTCTGCTTGTATCTATGCGTCCTCTCAGCGCTCCGTTTCCTCTAGTTTCAAGCCCCCCCAGCTCTATTTATCCCTTTTTCTCTTTATTTTCTTTTTATTTATATTAATGTTCCGCTCATCCCTCCTTCCGCCCTCCAGCCGGTCTCTCCCACGCTTGCCCCTGCTGCCTCCCTCCCATTGGCTGTCTCCACGGTTACCTAAACCAATGCCGCACCGTGATTGGTGGGCCCGGTGTGAATGGGCCATGCTGGAAGTACAGCATGTGGAAGAAGGGGGAAGAAGGGTGGGGGGGGCTGCCTGCAGTCCGTCTGTGAGGCACAAAACGACGGATGCCATCGTTGTTTTGTGCCTCACTTGGTGACTGCAGGTTTCTCCGGCCGGACGCTTTCGGGTTTGAAGTTCGAGTTCAAACAGCTGGCGCTGCGCTTTAATTCATGAGTGTTTTCGTACCCGTCAGACAAGTGTGTCTGCGCCCGTCTTCTGTTTTGAAGCTTGAGAATTCCAGTGATATTTTTTTGGTCCAGAGCCAAGAGCTTTGTGTTCAAATCTAACCCGAAGGAGCTGGTTCCACTGACTTTTTGTTTGTCCCTACACACGTTCTGCTGGGCTGTGATTGGCCCTGGCGTGGCGGGCAGGACCAACCCGTCCAGTGGGTTGAGCGGCGCCGGGAGCACGCGTGGCCCTTCTGCTCTGAGGATGCAGGCTTTGCCACACGGCTCCAGTTCCCACTTCCCCACAAATAAGAGGGATTTTTGATCCCACAGCTGCTTTCTTTGTTCTCCTTCAATATAAATATCCATCTCCTTTTTACTTCCTTAGCTCAGCCGTCCCCTTTACGCCCCCCCACAGCCTCCTCCCTGCTCTCGTCTCTCACGCCGTTTTCATAGTGCTACCGATTAAATGCAGATTTTTCTTGTAATCCCTCCACTGGAAGAGCACATGTTTTCATGCCCCTCAGGGCCTGTAGTGCCACAGTCAATGGAAGCGAACACGCAGCTTGATTGCGCACACACACGGTTTCATTCATTCAAGTTAAAGCTGAAATATGTAGCTCGTCGCCTGCTGTTCTCCATGTTGACGAGAATTAACGGCCACCTGTGATGTGTTTTCAACATTTCAGCTGTTCAGAGCGTCTATTTGTGTACAAACGGCTGAATGACAATGTCCATGATCACACACGCAAAACCCACGCTTACCCAATGCTTTGCACAGAACGTACCAAAGGCTTTCATATGGTTTTGACACAAAGGAAACTGCTTGAATTGCTTCTTTCACTTTAGCCGTTAGTGCCGAGGAAGTAAACAAGCATATATATACATTTATATATAAAGCGTGAGTGAGTATTTCTTCTTCCTTCTCCTCGGCAGTGACACACTGGCCTTCCTCTCGCCCCTCTACCAAACATTCTGTGTCGTGTTTTGTAATTTATCTGGCGCGCACACACACACACACCCGTACAGTGGGAGGGTTTCGTAACTCACCTGTCTCGCTCTAATAAAGCCGCTTTAATAACTCATCCAGGGCAGCCAGTTATATAAGAGAGAGTGTGTGTGTGTGTGTGTGTGGTCCTGTCCAGTGGTCTTTAAATTGTTTTTGTCTTTTTCCAGACAAGTTATGCAACCCAGATGAATCTTTGTCTCGGGGAGGAAACAACATGTTCTTCCACCGGCACTCCTCGGTTTCCTTTGGGCTCCTCACAAAGCCGGCGGTTTAGATCTCAGCATCTGATTTATTTGATCTTTTTCCAACGTGTGGCAGTGGAATCACACTGAACACACACACACACACACCTGGGCAGACACACTCATCACGTCTTTGTGTGTGCGTGCGTGTGTGTGTGCAGTTCCAGGGCGTTTAGGTTCTTGTGAACATGCTGGTTGTGTAACAGCCAGAGGCAGCGGTTACATAAGTGTCCCCCTCGTCCCACCAGCCTCGACGCTCCTCCAGTCCGGAAATACACACTTGCTTGACTCAATGGTATCAGCCTGACTGGAGGCCGGGTGTGGTCGTTTGATTACCTCGCCCTGACCTCCCATCTGGAGCCCGGCCCGTCGGCCCAGGCTGTCGAGTCGGCTGTTCCCGTCAATGTTTCTCCGAAGCCCGACCGGTAACTACGTGGTAATAGATGCACTTGTGGTTCCTGGTAGCGAGGGCAACGACTTTGGTTTAATTTTTCTGAAATCCCTTCCTGTTAATCCGCTGCGTGTTGGATAACCACGCATCCAACACGCATCCCGTCCTCTGTTCGGCTCCGCGTGTGTGACCAACGCGGGACGTGTGGAGGATTCTCCCTGGAGAGTCGCAGGGCGGGACGCAGGCGGGCCGTCCACACCGAGTCGCTCCGTGTCCCGCGGGGACGAGGAGCAGGAGGCGTCGGACCCTTCAGGGATGTGTGTGTGTGTGGAAAGAAGAAACTACAGAACGCACACCTCAAAATAGCGCCTCTTGAGTTCCGTGTCCTTGGCGTTGTCTCAGAAACTGAGATTTCATCGGGTGTCGCCCGCGGAGCGGCGTCTCCGGCTGTGGATCGCAGTCCTTGGAGCAGGTGGAGGACGTGTCGTTCCACCGCCTTCCGGGCGGAGGATTCCACACTGTGGAGCAAAAGCCTTGTATCACTTTTCAGCGCCAAGAGAACGGCCTGAACTCCTCCAGCGAGGGTTCAGCGCGTTCTCGCGCCTGAGAGTAACACACATTTAGTGCAGAAGACGGGACGACGCGCTGTGAGGTTTTCACATATTGTGTAATCCTGCTGGTTTTAGACGTATTCCTTCTTCATAGAAGAGTAGCATCTTTTTCTTCCTGTAATGTTTCATCCTTTCATACGATCTCTGTCTCACGCTCTTCTATTTGAAACACTGACCGACCCACTTGAGGGCTGCGTGTGCGTCTATGTAGTGAGTATGTTGTGAGTATTAGTTCTGTAACTTATTCTGTATGTAATTATCTGAACCTCCATCTGCACACGCGTGTTTGAATCCAAGCTGATGTTCTGGTATTAATGGTGAACTAAAGGAATAACCGTTTCCTTTCAGAACTCGATGCCTTTACCATCCTGTCGTCTCCCGTAAATCTTCAAAGCTGGCCTTTATAATTCGAGACGGCACTTTAATAAAGCGACAGGATGATTGGTTTTAGATGCATAGCTCATGGACATGATGGTCACTTAAATGAACTACATCTCAAGAGAAAATAAGTACTAACAGTTTTTATTTTCATTATAGTTCATCCTTTAGTCGCCTGGCCTTGTGATGGCCATGAATACAGAAAAGAATGAGTTCCTTTCTAAATGTGTATTTTAATAACCAATTATTCTCTTTGTTAGCTTGTTAGTCTTGTGATGGCGCAACGTACAAAAAATATATTTATGTGCCTGAATAATCAACTCATCGTTTAGATGGCGAATCTTGTGACGGCCCAGAATACAGAACGTGTCCAACACAATCACCTCGCTGAATGAGACCATTTCTATCTGCATAGATGTTTTGCTTCATTTCCCTCCTTGTAATTTGTGAGCGTGCTGCTTATTGTAAACATTATATATCTATAAAGTTGTAGTGACTCATCATGATCGAATACACAAACGCATGTTCTTAGATTGTTTAACACTTCTACACTCCTGCTTGTGTGTGTGTGTGTGTGTGTGTGTGTGTGTGTCCAGTCCCTCTGAAGTGCATCTCTTTGAAGGATGACCTGACTCATCTCTCTCCTCTTTCTCTTCCTGTCTGCCCTTTAGTGTCTCTTTTAGAGTGCTCAGTGTGTGTGTGTGTGTGTGTGTGTGTGTGTGTGTTGATGTAGAAGCACAGTGCATTTCAGGAACCGTTCTGTAGTGTTGAGTCGAAGGGGGGGGGGGTGTGAGGGAACTGGGACATGTCCATCCGATCGGGACGTCTTCATGTAAAACAACTTGTTTTGCAGCTCTTCTCTCCAACTCTTTAGTACAAGCAGTCAACTTGTGTCCAGTTTCATTACAGCTCGTTTGCCGTTTGGAGGCTTATGCTGACTAATGTAATGGTGAAGTGCACAGGGAGATGAAACGGTTTGGAAAAGCATGAGCGATACGCCGTCGACTGTGGCAAGACGCCACAGTCCGGAAACATTATCTGAAGAAGCGTCTGTTTTGCTCCACCGAGGCACTGAAGGTTCCCCGTCCTTTGTGTTGGTCAGCAGGAAGGACACAGAGAAGATGGCTCAACATCTGACACAAAGGGCTTCACGTTTGTGCGCCTGTGTGTGCGTGTGTGGAAAGTCTGTCCCGTTCCCCCGAGTTACGTGTGTTGATTTATACTTGTCCTCTGGAATGTGTCTTCTTTTTTATGTGCGAGTCAGTGTTTGTGTCCTGTCTCGTGTTTCATAAGCTGTGCATATTTATGCTCCAGCTCTTACATAAGCCTCCGATCTGGTTCAGTGTGTCTCAGAATGCTGAGGAGGAGGAGGGGCGGTAGAGGAAGTTTAGGGAAGAATACAAATAAGACAAAAGTTGAGCGGATTCTCTTTGGTATTTTAGTTGAATATCAATTTCAATACTTTTGAAATACTAAATCCTCTCCAGGTCCCAACTGGCATCAGCATTTCAAATGAGCCAAAGTGTTCATTCCAAACACAGTAATCATGTGTGATTAGAGACATTCCAGGAATAACTTCATCACAAACCAAATGTGATGGAAAGGATATTTAGTAAAACGGTTCCTGTGCTTTACTGCATGTTTTGGATTTGTCACCGGACACACAAACAGAGCCGTTGTTCTCTGTGTCGATCAAATGTTTCCTTAAATGTGCGCTTTCATATCCAGAGTTGCATCCTCAGGCAGGAAAGGAATATTTAGAGTATTTTTACCTCCATGACGACCCTTTTATTCTCCCCCGTCTTCCTCACACAGACCAGCCGCACAGCGCCCCCTTCAGCTCCGACAATGACACTCAGGAAGGCGACTCGGCCCCGTGGCGGTGCACCCCGCCCCCATCTACCTCACCTTCGGGGGAGCCCGCGCTCCATCCGCCCCCGTCCCAGTCCGCGTCCAGGTCCCGCTCCAGGCCGGCCGGCCAAAGGCCCGCCCCCCCCTCTGCCCTGGCAGGGACCAAAAAGAGGAGCTCCAAACCGGCACACATGAGACGCAACATCAGGTACGAGCTCGGTCGTCTCAGCCGAAGCCTTTGACCGGACGCGCGCGTGTGTCACACGCCGAGCGTGCTGTTAGAGCATCAGATGAGCTTCAGTTAACGAATGTTCTCGTCCCTTTGTGTCTGTGTAGGAAGTTACTGCGGGAGCATCAGTTGGAGTCAGTGACCAAAACCGCCCAGCAGGACGAGTTGGAGAGGAGGCGACGCCTGGAGCAGAACAGCAAACAGGATTTCCCCGCGCCACGGCTGCCCGAGTACACGACTGGTAAGAACATTTAACCCCATGAATGCGCCCATAAATATCCAATCCACATGGATTCCAGAGGCAAGAACTGACTCTCGTCTTCCTTACTTCCCTTCTTGCTTCCCCATCGTCTTTTTTTTTTTTTAATCCCTTTTGTCCGGCTGTCCTGTCCATCTCTCCAGGTGAAGTGTCGTCATCGGCGGCGGCGCAGCAGGAGGCGAAGTCGATCCGACCGCCAGTGATCTGCCTGGACTCCAGCAGCACGGGCATCAGCGAGGACGACCGAGAGAGCATCGTGTCCGCCTGCGCTACCCCGCAGCGCTCGCACAAAACCGGTGAGCCACACGGACGTTCTGAGCTGCCCAGATCGGCCGAGGCGATTTACGGTTGCATGTTGAGGTCCGAAGCCTTGCTCGAAGGCTCGTCTGGCAGTCGCTGAGGAAGTGATCTATCGAGAGGAATTATCGCTGGGATCAAGCAAAGCAGCCTTAATAGCCTCATGACGGCCTCGCGTGTACTAAATTACACGTTTCGGATTGCTTTCTGAGCCCAGCGGTGAGGAAAGAAGGCAGATTAAAAGACTGTCAGCTTAAATTTCCAGGAGAAATAACAGGACGGAGGATGCATAAACAAGCTGGATGAGGTTTTTTCCCTCAAAGGGCAACAAAACGGCAAATGTCTGGGCCTGTATTCATCTAAAATCATGGGATGAGTCAAAGGCAGGACTTTTGGCGTTGAGCACCATTTTTTACAGAGACAATTTAGGGTTACAAACGCTAAATGTATCAGTGAGGGAATTCTATGCCCATTTTGAGAGAGAGAGAGAGAGAGAGTCTGGTCTGTGGAGCAATAAAGCTGGCTAATCCTGGTTATGAGACCGAACACACACACACGCGCACAGTGACATTTCCAGTCGGGGTTGCATAATGGCGCCCCCTCCACTCTAATCCTACTTGTATAACCAGCCATTCACTGCAGTTATGTAAGGGCTCTCACACACACGCACACACACCTCACAGTCCGCCAGCTTGTCTGACTTTTCACCACCAATCCTCCTCCAAACGTTTTTTTAGAGCTCTAATGGAGTTCATAATTTGTGTGATAGAATTTACTAAAATATTTCATCAAATTGTCCGTCCGAGACCAAAAATGTCTTTGAGCTGCAGTGTAACTTTGTGCTTCCTCGTCGCCTCCTTCCGGGCAGACGTGATCGACCTGTGCTCGGGCGAGGACGACACCCTCGTCAGCGTCGGCGCCGAGGAAGAAGAGAGCGAGCCGAGCGGCGTGCACGGCGACGACGCCCTTAACCTACCCGACCCCCAGGGCAGGGTGCTGGTCAACTTGGGCCATCCGGCCGCAGAGAAGGACATTTTCCTGCTGCCTCAGCTGGCGCGAGCAGTCAAACCTCACCAGGTATTCCTCCCCGCTGACCTCCGAGGCGACGCTCGGGGCTTTTTGTCTGGTCATCGGTAACCATGAAGACATTTCTCATTCTGATGTGACTTTTCTTTTTTTTTTAAGTCATACTTTAGCATACAAATTGCTTTGGAATTTAGATTTGTTGACCTTTTTATTCAAATTTTATAACCTTTTGAAGTCACTGGCGGCCCGCTGAGTGTGCTCTTTTTAACGAGGTCTCACTTGTGCTTCATTCGCCACGACCTTTCGTCTCGCTGCCTTCTCGTTCTCATTTCACCCCACGGCTTCCGCTACCGTTGCTTCTTTTTCCCCCTCTGTTTCCCGCGATTAACTCCTCGCCGTTTCCTCCTCAGATCGGTGGAATCCGTTTCCTGTACGACAACCTGGTGGAGTCGGTGGAGCGGTTCGGCAGCAGCGGCGGGTTCGGCTGCATCCTGGCCCACAGCATGGGCCTGGGCAAAACGCTGCAGGTCATCTCCTTCATCGACGTCCTGTTGAGACACACCCAGGCTCACACCGTCCTCGCCATCGTACCTGTAAGCACCTGCTGACTTAATGGTGCAGCGCAAGGAAGGGTTAGCCGGGGTCGGATCGATGAGTCAAAGAAAAGGGGTTCGGATTGCAGATTGACTCGGGTCATTTATCCATTACTTTCATTCCAGGTGAACACGCTTCAGAACTGGCTGTCAGAGTTCAATATGTGGGTCCCGCCCCCGGAGGCGTTGCCTCCAGAGACCGACCCGGGACGGGTGACTCCTCGTGCCTTTAAGGTTCACATCCTCAACGACGAACACAAGTGAGTCCCAAGGACTTTCTCCCCTTTGAGTATTGGCTCCTTTTAAGAGGGACAAGAAAGAGTCAAATACTTTTTACAGGATTTTTTTAATCCTGCAGGGCGCGCCGGATAGACACATTTTGCCGGGTCATTGGTTAAATAAAAGCCTGCTTGCAATAACATTCATGCAAAACAGTGAATGGAGTCCTTTATCTCTAAAAACAAAAAACAAAGCGGTGACCTTCTAAACCTTGTGACCTGCCTCTGTACTCCCATCTGGCTTGTGCTCTCTTCCAGCCCTCCATCACTCTTAAGACAGCTGCCGCTGCTAGAAAGATTTTTGTGTGTGTGTGTGTGTGTGTGTGTGTGTGTGTGTGTGTGTGTGTGTGTGTGTGTGTGTGTGTGTGTGTGTGTGTGTGTGTGTGTGTGTGTATTAGAGAGGCCTGCTGCCAACAACTTTGTGACATTCACATGACTAGTTACGCGGTATCCCATTCTCCTACCGCCATACAGCAATACGATGAATTCATCACCGATTAATTCGTGACAAATTGGTAATTTAGCACGATTGGATCGATTACAAAACGTAATTCTTAAGTTTTTTGTTTTTCTCTATTTGTTTTTGTTTATTCCCCTCCGTCGCTCTCATGCGGTTTGCAGACAATGACCTATCATTTCTTGCGTCACCCAGGAACACAGCGTCCAGGGCCAAGGTGGTGGAGGACTGGGCCCAGGACGGCGGGGTGCTGCTGATGGGCTACGAGATGTACCGCCTGCTGTCGCTGAAGAAGAGCTTCGTGGCTGGGAGGAAGAAGAAGGGCAAGAAAACTACAGGACCTGTCGTCATGGACCTGGACGAAGAGGACAGGCAGCAAGAGCTGCTCAAAGGTGAGAAAAGTTGAGGGCGGAGGAACAAAGAGAAATGTAGTAATGCGCTGCTTTCTAATGCACCCGTGCAGAAGGTCCTCGATCAGATATTTTCGCCTGTCCTCCTCCTCCAGGTATCGAGCGAGCCTTGGCCCGGCCCGGTCCGGACGTGGTGATATGTGACGAAGGTCACCGCATCAAGAACTGCCACGCCAGCACGTCGCAGGCCCTGAAGAGCATCCAAACCAGACGCCGCGTGGTCCTGACCGGCTACCCCCTCCAGAACAACCTGATCGAGTACTGGTGCATGGTCGACTTTGTCCGACCCGACTTCCTAGGTACGGCCCTGTGACCAGCGTTTCGCTTTTACCAATCGCTCGCCGAAATCGCCGAGAAGACGGCGCTGGTCTTTTCCTCTCGACCCTCTGACCTCTGTTTCTTTATGTGTTTCAGGAACGAGGCAGGAGTTCAGCAACATGTTTGAGCGTCCCATTCTGAACGGGCAGTGTGTGGACAGCACGCCTCAGGACGTCCAGCTGATGAGGTACAGGAGCCACGTCCTGCACAGCCTGCTGGAGGGCTTCGTACAGAGGTGAGAACGCTGCCCTCCTGAACCCACGTCTGCTGCCAGGGGAACAAAACATGACCTCCCTCAAGTAGTTATAAAATAGAACACACACAGAGGGTCACACACTTTTTGACTCTCTTAGATCGGAGAATTCCATTTTATTAATATTGACCATTACTTTTTTTGTTCCAGGCGAGGTCATGACGTCCTGAAGGACCACCTTCCCTCGAAAGAGGAGCACGTGATCCTGGTGCGTCTGTCTCCCCTGCAGAGGGCGCTCTACACAGAGTTCATGAACCGCTTCAGAGAGGCAGGGAACTCCGGCTGGCTCAGCCTCAACCCACTGAAGGCTTTCTGCGTCTGCTGCAAGGTGACGGGCCAGAGCGCAATACGAAAGTAATGTGTTATAAACATATGGCAGATTTCTTAAAGTTGTGAAATAGCAACTCATTTTTCACTCTTATACAAATACTAGAATTACACAATCTTGAGTCATTCTCTCCTGCAGTCCTTGAAATGTTGCTTCGGCACCAAGATTAATCCCTGTGTGTTTATCATGCTCACCAAGTGCAGTCATTGCTACCTTGAGAGTGTTTTCACAGCCCTGATCTCCTGTTATTCTTTAGATTTGGAACCATCCGGACGTGCTGTATGAGGCCTTACAGAAGGAAAACATGGCCAGTGACCACGACCTAGACCTCGATGACATCACTTCCACAGGTCTCAGCCGATCTCCAACCGCACCCGGTCAAAAGTCCAAGCCCATTGAGAACCCCAACCCCATTGGTGGACTCAGTCTTAACCAGCTGCAGGAGAAAGCCAATCAGGTCATCACTTACGAATGGGTACGTCCAAGGACTGGAATTCAGAAGAGCACAACTCACTAGCTTAATATTTGCCATATGAGATGCTGCTGTCGGTTCAGTGACACTTGAGTGTGAAAATCCCACGAATTTGTCAAATTCTAAAGTGTGAAGTTGCGCATTTCCTAAAGAGCTCACAGCTGTGGTTGTTCCCCCTTTTTACGGTTTACAAACTTCCCTCTTTTGAAAGTGAGTCTTACTTCAGCTGATCTATGAATGCAAAGGTGCTGTTGTGTAACGGTAGAGTACGTTCTCTTCACACGGCCAGGCGAAGGACATCCTGTACGACTACAAGCCGGGCCACCTGGAGAACTCCGCCAAAATGGTGCTGCTGTTCCATCTGATAGAGGAGAGCGTCAGGAAGGGAGACAAGATCCTCGTCTTCAGGTACCGGAGAAGTGCTTGTAATGTGTAATACACGATTTAAGCTTTGTATCAGTTATTTTCACCTGTATGTGATATAATAAACAAAAGCTAACAAATCGAATCTCCCCTCAAACTTGTTTTTATCGGCTGTTATTTTTCTGATTTGGTTCAATTCTACTTTTGTTTTTCATTCACATTACTGATCCTTTTTTACGTGTGATCCAATCCTTAATTCATTATTTTGTCTGCCTCCTGCAGTCAGAGTCTGTCAACACTGACCGTGATTGAGGATTTTCTGGCTAAGAGACCAGTGCCTCCATCACCCAACACACCCAGCAGGGACCGACCCAACCAGAACTGGGTCCGCAACCTCAACTACTACAGTAAGTGAATAATGAAAATATATTGTTCAAGTGTTTTGTTTAATAAATATGGAAAATTAGTAAACCTTCCACAAAGACCACATGCCGAGGGGGGCTTTAAATAGGAGGAGAGGTTAAAGTTTATTTAGCACATTGAAGCTGGTCTAATTTGTCTTTAGGTCAGTGGTTTATTTGCCCGGTGGTTCGGCTCCTCTCATTGACGTCCAATGAGTGCTGCCATCTGCTGGCGTTTCCTGAGAAGAGACCGACTTATTCTGCATAGAAAAGGAATTTGTTGCTTTTGCAGAGTGGGTCTTTTTTTCAGGATTATTTAAAGACTGGTCTCGTTAAATATGAGTTGTATCCACAGTCCCTTTGTCGGCCAATTAAAAGTGAACTGACTTTAACAATGTGAGAGTTATCTTATTTGTCACATATGTTCATCTCCTAAATTTCAACTTTTGTTTGTCTTATTTCAAAAGATACAGTTGCACAGTAGAGTGAAGGCAGCCGGTTGGTCTGCAGCCTTGTGACTCTGTTGGTTGTGTGATATCTTGCAGGACTGGACGGAAGCACGCCGGCCTCGGAGAGAGAGCGGCTTATAAACCTGTTCAACGCTCCGTCCAACACCTCGGCGTGGGTTTTCCTGCTTTCAACTAGGTGAAACACACAATATCAGTCGTATCGATGAATGACGGCCGGTGTGAATTAGTATTCAGGAAATGACCTCTGACCCCTCCGGGCCTCAGGGCTGGCTGTCTGGGCGTGAACCTGATTGGGGCCAACCGCGTGGTGGTGTTTGACGCCTCCTGGAACCCGTGCCACGACGCCCAGGCCGTGTGTCGCGTCTACCGCTACGGTCAGAGGAAGCGCTGCCACGTCTACCGGCTGGTGTGCGACTTTACGCTGGAGAAGAAGATCTACGACCGGCAGATCTCTAAGCAGGGCATGTCAGGTGAGTGGGGAAATGAATTGATGAAGTAAATAATTTTACTAGGAAATCGGCCGCGTTGTTCAACGTTTTTCTTCCCTATTTAACGTCCTGTTCCTCGGTCTGTCTTCCTCTCTCCCTTTGTGCTTTCCCTCCATAAGACCGGGTGGTGGATGACCTGAACCCTGTGCTGACCTTCACCAGGAGGGAGGTGGAGTCTCTTCTTCACTTTGTGGATGAGGAGCCGGACCCCTCGCAGGTGCGACTGCAGTCCCACGACAGCCTGGAGAGCGTCCTCCGGAGGGCTCTGCACCTCTACCCTCAGCTGATTACCAAGGTAGCTGGACAGAGGACACACTGTCTCATGCCATTTGTTATGACGTGTGGGCCGCCCTGCATACCATTATTGCACCATTCATTGTGGTCTTGTAAGGCTTAAGACTCCTGAAAGGTGTCATTTTTTTGTCTGAGGGGAAACCTACTTCAAGCCATTTGTAAAAATGTAACTTCTTCACATTCTAAATTCATTTGACTTCAAAGTGAAAATGAATGAACAATCTTTAATCTCCCCATCAGCAACCATTTCCCCACGAGTCCCTGCTGATAGACCGCAAAGAGCTTAGGCTGACCAAGGTGGAGAAGAAAGCAGCAAGGAAAGGTTACGAAGAGGAGAAGAGGGCCTCTGTGCCGTACACCCGCCCTTCCTACGCTCACTACTACCCCGCCAGTGACCAGAGCCTCACCAACATCCCCGCCTTCAGTCAGAGAAACTGGTTAGTGCGTCACAGCTGCAACAAAAGTGTTTACTTTAGAAGGTTTCATGAGGAATTGCTAAAGATGAACACAAGGCATGGAACTAATGTCAAAACTCTCAGGCGTCCACCTGCTCGGTCTGAAGAGAAGCCGGTCACCAGCGTCCGCCCGGTCCAGACGACTCCGGTGCCCATGGTGCCCCGGCAGGCGTCTGCAGGCTCCGCTCCGAGAGACGACGCATCAGAATCCAGCATCGGAGGCTTTCCTGTCAACTGCCTGCAAAAGGCCGGAGTGTTTGTACAGCGGATCGTCACCACTTCCGGTAAGCCAGCTGTACAAGTACTGGATTTCTTCTTCGTCTGTTTTAGCAGTTTCATTTCATCTTAATTATTTTTTTTCCCCCGACGGATTAATCTTCTAGGTACGATATTAGCTGATGAATAGTGGATTGCGTCCTCGAGCTCTCACTAAATGTGTCCTCTTTGGTCTCTTTCAGACATAGTGATTCCAGGCACCAACAGCTCGACGGACGTCCAGGCCAGGATCACAGCTGGAGAGAGCATCCACATCATCAGGGGCACCAAAGGTACGGTAACTCTTTGACCGTTCTCGTTCGCCAAACATTTGCGTATTGGCCTCTATTAGCATGAATCATCAGTTGCAGCCTTACATGTAATCACAAGGCTGCAAATGAATCTTCTATGAGAACATTGAGTATTAATTTAATGGTGCCGGTCAGAGTGAGCGTTTACTTGTACTGATCATTTCTCTGTTTTAGGGACTTACATCAGGTCCTCCGATGGTCGAATCTTTGCCATCAGAGCAGCTAATAAGGCCAAGACTGCTGACGAGATTACCACAGCGCCACCGAAAGGTAGGATAGTTACCAGAACTGACTTCCTGTTGGTTTGACAGGCCCACATGTAAACATTACATTATTGTCATTGTGGTGTTTAAAAATCGGACCCGTGGTTCCTTCTTCTCAGAATCTCAGGCCCCACCCGAGGAAGTGTCAACCGATAGCGGTGACGGTTGCCTGTCACCTGACGGGAAGAAGCAGCCCCGCCCCATTTCCCCCGACAGCCCCGAGATCATCAGTGAGTTGCAGCGCTACACGGCTGGCACGGCAGCCGCCGCCGCCTTAGCCTCCGGCGCTCAGCCGGAGACGGCGGCAGAGGGCAACGGGAGCAGCCTGCCTGCCGCCAAGCCGGCCCCGACCGACGGCGGCGGTTTTGCACCCAGAAAACTGAGCCACCACGATGCCTCTGTGACTAATGTAATCCAGCCCACTGTAGCCCAGGACCTGAGGACCGCCTCCAAGCGCAAAGCCTCCCGCCCGTCCCCGGATGAGCGGCCCAGTAAGCAGCCGTCCACGGGCCCCCGCTCCGCCGCCCCTCTGGCCCCACAAGGCTTCCCCTTCGCCGGGGGCTACGGCCTCCCTTCTCTGGGCCTCAGCCCCGCCATGCTAGGCGGCACACTGGGGAACCCGCTCTTCATGGGGGCAGGCTCGCCTTACTTCCAGCCCCCCCACGCTCCACTGAGGACCCCGTACATGTACCTGGATCTGTTCGGCTTGACGGCGTCAGCATGGCTTCTCTCGTCATCATCTCTCTCCGCCCCCTCGTCCACAACGACTACTGCGACCGCCGCCTCATCTTCCTCGGCATCGGCCCAAAGCCGCCAGTTCCGTCCCAGGAGCGCTGCCGCCGTTCATGCTGAGCCCCAGCATGGTGGGCATGGCCGGGATGCTCATGCCAGGCTTCCCTTACAGTCAGTCCCTGGCCAGCCTGTACACGGGGTCCATGCTCCCCGGTGGGCTGCCGTGTCCGGCCGCCACCCCCGGTCCAGCCGGAGCCAGCTTCCTCTCTCAGTACCCTCCCACCGCTGCCTGCAGTTCCTCCTCGTCTTCTCCTTCGTCTTTCTCCCCCTCGGCGCGGTCCGAGGAGCGCCGGGGCGCAGTGCCGGTGAACGGCAGGAACAGCAGCAGCGGCAGCAGTTCCGACGAGGAGGACGATGATGTAATTGAGGTGAGGGGACAGTGAGGGACGAGTGAGAGACAATCGCCACCGCTGCTCTCTACTGCCTGGGAGAAAACTGTCTGAATGTCCAGCGTGTCTTCATCCCCAAAGAGCGTTGAATCTTAATGATGGAAATCAGAAGATGAAACTTGAACGAGAAGAAAACGCTGTCCGTCGGGGGAAGAAAGTAAAACTCTGAAGACTCAGAGCATTCAAGTTACTGTCAAATACAAGCATTGAAATATGACTTAGATCTGCTGAGTTTGGGCCTGCAGTGACGTTGTGGCGTTAGAGACTAGTTGTGCAGCTTTGCTAAATGTGGACCTTTTTTCCAACTAATTAATAAGATGACGTAGTTTGAGTTGCAGTTAAATATCAGTAACTGAAATGGTATTGTTAGTCAGTTGTTGAATATTGCTACTATTTCTTCAAACGGGGAAAATAAAAGGTAAAAAGATCAAACAGAACTTATAAAAAGCATTTTAATAGAACTTAACGATTCACTGCCAGGACAGGGGTATTGTATGTTTTTGTTAAAGTGTGATCATCTTAGATTGTAGAAGAGGCTTTTTTTGAGGCTGAAGTTAAAGACAATTACTGAAACCTCAAATTTCAAATGAAAGAATGTATGCTTAATCAAATGCCTTCAAAACCGGGCCTTTTTCAAATAGACTTTCTATTTAAGTATCAGACGAGGGAAGATCTGATTTTTCTTTTCTTTTCTTTTTTTGCATTTTATAAAATACACCGAAAAACCGTTGCCTAAAAGCAGCCAGGTGAAAATGAGGAAAAAAAAACCCTGTTCTTGTGAGGTGTCCTCCTCGTAGCGGAGAAAACACCAACAGAAAATGCCTTTTTGCCTCCATCTTTCTGAATGTTAACTGTGAGGGAGGAGAGTCTCACCCGCAGTCTTACTGTAGCGAAAAGCGATGCAAAACACTCACTCAAGCCTATATACCGTCTGTGTCCGTGGAACCCGGAGGAATTACTCCTGCAAACCGCGGTTTTGGTTACGCTTGCGTCGTCGCTGTGTCCGCGTGTCGTGTTCTTGAGGGTTACAAAAGGAATCGTTTAAAGGAAACAAATATTTAATCTCTTTTGTGCGGTTTTGTACCTTCTTTTTTTTCTCGGTAAATGACACCACCTCTGCTCTTGTGTTGTTATTTCCGATGTCTCATCTCATTTCGCTGAACCCAAACTGTTTTTAGTTGGGGGGGGGGGGGGGTCTTTGGAAGAGGGACGGTGCAGCTTTGCCAACATTGAGAAATGCACAAGCACATTGGGGACCTGCATCGAGGAGGATCGTGTCTTAAGAGACCAAACCGTGCAGAGCAGATTTGAACTGCGGCGTGGCTTCTGCAGCCTCCTCGCGGTGCACATACAAACATACACAGCACATATGCGCCCCGCTGCACCACCTGGCAGGGTAACACGGTACCGCACTGTAAAAGAGACACAATATCTGTAGACCGCTTCACGGGAACAAGTTCCCTTTTTGATTAACCATAATCGTTCTGATTGATCCCTTCTGATCACACAAACTGATCTGCTATGGTCGGCGCTGTCTGTGTCTGTGTGTCCCAAATAGCTTTAACAACCCACCAGCTCTCCGGTTGAACAAGATCATTCATCTTCATGTAAAAAACTGATCATTTCCTGTTGATTTTCTTCCAATTAAGTTTTGGCTTACTTATGTAAGACTTTTGTTGACTTCTTTTTACAAAATTTGAAATTACCAAATGTATTTATTGATGACGGTGCATATTTATTCATTTTTATTTTTGTACTGTTCTTTTTTTCGCTGCATTTCTTTAGCTTGTTTGTCATAGTTGTATTCTCATATTACTGGTGTTGTTACTACAGATGGAAATCCCTGCGGTTTCTTGTGATTTAAAAAAAAAAAAATGTTATTCCATTTTTTTGCCGTAGCTATCTGCCAGTTCGACCCAGCACATGTGGACCAATCGATAAATGTGTCACTGTGCACATTAAAAGAGGGGGTAGCATTTGTAAGAAGGCTAAATTAATGACCATATTCCATTTGTGACAAGTCTGATCAGCTCTTGATGATTATTATTATTATTAAAAGGACGTTGGGAACAAGATGATATTAATGTGATAACGAGCAGTCTGCTTAAAAACCTTCTTCATCTGTACGAGCTCAGATTCCTTCGTTGGAATATCGAGCCTGTTCCCCAGTTTAGTTCAGTTTGGTTGCTAATTTAAAAACAACGCGAGCCATTGGTGTGCATGTAAACAAACTCATTCCCCAGTTAGGGGTCAGAAAATGAAGCAGTCAAACCAATCACCGTCGAAAGAGAAAGAAAATAATGATATTGAGTGTTTTTCTGTTTTTTCTGCACCATATCACCAGAAATGTCCATGTGTGTCGATGGAGAACAGCGAGCTTCTTCAGTGTTTGTTTGTGGGCTCTTTATTTGACTGGCTGATCTTTTATTTCACAGCTTTCTACTTGAATTTACATATTTATTTATACAAATCAATTCGGTCGGACAAGCAGAGCAAACTGTCTGAATTCCATTTTAGCCGAGTAGATTAAAGCCGATCTCTTTGAGGAACGGCTGCTGTCAAAGCCTGTCGTGTACAACGTGTATGACCGTGGATTACTTTGAGATCCTTTTTTTTGCTTATTGAAGTTTGTAAATAAAAAGAAACCTGTTCCAAATGATACTTTGTCTAATTTCTTTGCAGCAATAGTGGGAAATGTAGTGGCTATTGTCCCCTTTTTGTCTCATGCACACAAACACACACACACAACCAAGCACATGCACATAGTGTGAACAGCATTGAGCCACTCTTGCAGTCACACAACCGTAGCTTTAATTTGCTCTCAACTAGAATCCAATGATGTATATAAACAACATAAAAACTGCATGAATGGCTCACACTATAATCTACAGTTTATTTTTTTTAAAGAGTAAGAGGAATTCAAGAGAAAAAATTGACTCCAAAGCACAGAATACACTTACAAACCGGTGTGCCATTATAAGTACATGGTGTTGTCATTTTCTCTGTCCACTGTATTAATACTAACACTCTGAAGCTGGGATTGGCTCCAGACAGGTTTTTTTTTATTTTGGGTTAATTTTTAACACCTCACAAGGAAGTTGGTACCAACGACAATAAGGGTTTATACAAATACTTACCTTGTTCAAATAATGTTTGACATAGCGTTGTTTTAAAAGCAAAGACAGACACTTGATGTTCCCAAAAGGAAGGCCAATTCACTATTTCAAATGTACGATAAATAGTCTTTAAATATGGTAGAAAAAAAGTAAAAAACATGTTACTTTATAGAGTAAATCTGCTATTGGGTGAAACTAAAAACCTTAAAGAACTGCCAATATTGTTTAAAGAACTTTCGTGTTGTCTTTATTTGCGGTCATATAGATGTTAGTATATTGAATGCCTTGATGATTGAATGCATTGATTTTGCATATTTGATTATCTTCTCTTAGCGGTAAAATCAATGGAATATTGAGCGTGAATCTGTGATCATATTGTACTAACAGTTTCCATATCTTGCATTAATGAATAGAGTTTCTCTGTAAGATCTCAATTGACAAGTTCATTTATATTGAATGTGGATCTGATTAGGCATGAAACCAAAGACCATTGTGTAAATTCACTAGCTTTTGTTTTACAGGTTACTTGAATTCAGTTTTACCGTGGCGTCATATGCCAGCAACCAAAGGACGACGAAACAGGTTAATATAACAGATGCGTCGGCCTCCATTTCCAGACAGCGACGTCAAATGTCTGAATGAAAACAAGAGTACCTTGTTCCATTTGATTAATGCCCCACACACAAAGCGCGATGGCTTTGCAGAGACAAATGGCTGGATTGAGACAGCTCAGCAGCTAATTTGCATGGTTATTGAATTGCAGAACCTGAATACCTGTTTTGGTTTTGTTTGTACACCTGCGCTTTTATAGATCTCATTACAACCATAACTATAATGTGCCAATTCACCATACACAATAACTGCAAATGTCAAATGTCTTGGGTAAATGTTTTCTATGTGAGTGCTTCATTTTTGGAAGTGCATAGCATATTGGTTGTTTTGTGTTCAGATTGAGTGATGCTTGTGACCTTTTATATTTCTGTTTTTGTAAACTGAGTGAAGGTTGCTGTTTAATCTCTGTTCTTTTCCCATGTTTCCTTGTTATTAACATTTGTATGTGATTTGCATTTTTTGTACATGGGATTTGAGTTCCAATTACTCAATACATGAAATTCATGTGTCTTTTGTATCTCTTTCTTTAGGATTTAATTTCTCCCCAAAATAGTAATGGACAGACTTAACGTGAAATACCCTTCTTGAATCGTTATTGCTCAAAACTCGTTTTCCCAGACTGCCCTGGTGAGTCACGTGACGTTGGTTCACGGGTTGTTGATGACGATGGCATACGGCGCACGTCAGTTCCTCAGTGGTGTCCCTAGCAGGAGGAGTGCCTGCTAAGATTTAAAAAAAAGGAATTAACAATAACATTCGCTCCGGCGACTTGCTCTCAACACACGGAGGAACTACAGGGCGGGCGAGTGAAGCGACGGTAGTATGAGAAACATGTCAGCTACGCGCAGGGTGGCGTCGATTCAGAAGCGACTCTTTAACACTGTTTAGAAGGCCTGTTGCTAGCTGCTGTGTATCCGCGGGGCTAGCCCGGTGCACACAGGGGACGGGAGCTCCGTGGGCTGCTTTGGTCAGCAAGGTTGTTTTTTTTTAACCGACGCTGGCTGCCCCTTTACCACGAAGACGTCACCTCTCCTACTCCGAGGAGACCCACATAACTGTTAGCTAACACTGGCGTTAGCTAACGTTACCTTGTGTTAACAAGCTAGCTCCGCCCACAACCGAAGAAGAATAAGTTGGCCCTTCGAAACACATTGAAAAACTACCACCGGCTGTGATTTGTAACCTCGTTTTTCTACGCGGACCGGAGGTCGCCGGCCAGGTACCTGGATCAGATTGTCCCCCGACTACGGTTATCGCGTCTTCCAGCTTATCTACTGCTGCCCAAAGTGTGTCGCCTCACTGGAATAGAAGGAACAGACTTTGCCGTGCTGGTTACACAACGCTACCTTTAACCGGCTGAACGACGGTATCCCGGATGAAGGCTCCCGGAAAAGTGTCCTATCTAATGCTGCCGGGGCGCACAGGTGCCCCCTGTTCCTCTCGGCATTGTTAATCTCACACCTCCAACCTCCGCCCCGTGTTGCTCTCTACAGCTGATCCGCCGTTAAACAGAAACGCCAGCACCATGAATCGTTACCTGCCGGTGGCGCGGCAGCACTTCCTGGCCGCCCTCGCCAGCACCAGCGTGGTGGTAAAGAGCATAAGCGCCGTGGTGGTGCTCCTCTACCTGTTGTCGTGGGCCGTGGACTGCCGGTACGCCCTGGGCGTGACCCCGGGCTACCTCTTTCCGCCCAACTTCTGGGTGTGGACGCTGGCGACCCACGGGCTGGTGGAGCAGCACGTATGGGGTGCGGCGGCCAACGTGGGCACGGTGATGGCCTGCGGGCGTCTCCTGGAGCCTCTGTGGGGCGCTCTGGAGCTCCTGATCTTCTTCGCGGTGGTAAACGTCTCCGCGGGCCTCCTGGCGGGCCTCTCCTACCTGCTCACCTACGTGGCCACCTTCGACCTGGACTACCTGTTTGCGGTTCGCGTCCACGGGGCGGCCGGGTTCCTGGGAGGCGTCCTGGTGGCGCTGAAGCAGACCTCGGGGGACACCACGGTGCTCAGGGTGCCGCAGGTGAGGAAAACAAACGCCGACGAAACCGTGAGAGTTTAAAGGATCGCTTTTGGGTTGTTCAGGAGTGTTTATTTTATTCTCCCTGGAGGCTGTAGTTATTTACTTTTTACTTGCATGGAAGCTTCTGTGTCTTTAAGCCCCTTGGTAACACACTGGTGACACCCCTTAACAGGACTCCCCAAACTACAGCCATTAAGACCGCAAGCACATTTCGATCTATTGCAGGACTTTTAAGTGTAGGTGTATTTTTTATGTAGGAGGGTGGGCATTGGGTGCTCGTGTCATTCAAGTAGCAGTTCATTGATTTCCTGTTATTTTGTGCCTGTGTGGTATGGAATTACCTTTTTGTGAGAACACCCTTCTCATACAGCGTTTGGAGCGTAGAAGCCAGAGGCTCAACATCTGTTCAGTTTGATTGTTTTTTTTTCCGGCTCTCTGGTTTCGGGTTGTGATCCTCTTCCAAATTTGCACTGCAGTTTAATCTGTTCATTCTCATTTTAGAGTGAATCCTGATGCTCTTCTATAGAAACAGAGCGGTGGGATAAGGATTACATTTTTCCCCCCCACTGAAGCACATGTTAGCTGCGAATTTCTTAAGTGTCTTTTAAACTATCAGACTGCTTTTTGTGCTTGTTATAGGTTTGGATAAAACTGGGTTATTTGACTCTATTCCTCCTCATCTCAGCTGAGTAGGTCAGAAAATACACATCAAAACGGATAAATGTTGAACGTGACTCCCTCCCTCCACCCTGGCACCTCGCCAGCTATTGTTTGCTGCTCCGATTCTTGTGTGCAGCTGACTTGAGTGAATTGTGGGAACCGGCAGCCTCCCGGTCTGTAGACCAAACGGTAGCCGTCTCCTTTGCCTGATTGCTGTGGTCCTAAGAGCTGCCTCCCTCCCATCGCAGGTGCGACTGAAAGCGGCACCGGCCTTGGTCCTCCTCCTCCTGGCCTTGCTGCGTCTGTCGGGGATTCACGACACCTCCGCTGACCTGGCGGCATACAGCTACGGCGCCCTCTCCGGCTGGGTCTACCTGCGCTTCTACCAGAGGCACAGCCGGGGCCGCGGGGACATGTCGGACCACTTTGCCTTTGCTAGTTTCTTCCCTGAGGCGCTGCAGCCAGCCGTGGGGCTGCTGGCGGGGCTGGTCCACGCAGCCCTGGTGAAGGTGAAGGTGTGCAGGAAGATGGTGAAGAGGTACGACGTAGGGGCCCCGTCCTCCATCACGATCAGCCTGCCGGGGACCGACCCCCAAGACGCAGAGAGGAGGAGGTGAGTCCGAGCGGAGATCGTTATTTATAAACGGATCTAATGCAAAGGGTGCTTTGATATATCGTTGGGCCTTTCTCAGGCGTTCTTGTGGATCGTTAGTCTTTAGTTAGACGTTGAGACGGTGATTTAAGAACCTTAATTGGTATTAAATCTACCTAAATCTGAGGTGTGGTACAAGACAATGCATCCGAGGTGTTCTTTATGCAAAAAGATATTCCAACTCAACACAGTGGAGTTTGTTAGTCCTGTTCTACCCCCGACTCTGCCATGAGACAAAAAAGGCTTTTTTTGTTTGTAAAATAAGCAAATGCATTAACAACACTGAAGAAAGAAAATCAACTGCTGCCAGACACGAGAAAGTTCGGGTTTTATTTACTCATAGAAGGGTTGGTGATACGCATCAAATACGAGCGCCGACTGAGTGAAGCGAAGGCCGTCTGCTGACGGGGAAATAAACCTCACGCTGGTGGATGAAACAGTAATCCGTGCTTCTCCAGAACAAATGATGGCTTCCGTTTCAAAATGACGTAATTCATTTGAAAGAACTTGCCTGTATTGAAAGACCGCATCAGCGAAAAGTCTGTTATTTCCAGGTTTGTTTTTCTCTACCAACTAGCTACCTTCACTGCAAGTTTACGTCAGTTAATACGGCAGGGGAACATCTTGCTCATCGCATTCACAAATGCCAAATAATTAGCTTTCTTTCATCACGTTATGGTTCAGCGCTGCTGTCACATGTGTCAGACCTGTGTGTTCTTTTTCAACTGGAAGACGAGAGGCGCTTTAAGCTGGGGTTTGTTATCTTGAGAAACCAGCAATAGTAGGCAAACATTCTCAAAATGATCCATCCGATAAATCCGAGCTCCGTGTTTCCAACATTAACTAGCAGCTGTCATGACTTTTCCTCCAAAATATTATTCAACCATAATATCATGCCTGCCTTAAACAACCAGGAACCTTGCAGATGTTTTGCTGTACGGCAATCTATAGTCAGTCAAGACTCCGACTTTGTGGAGGTTTAACACGTGATGGGTTACAGAAGGTAACTTCTTCTTCTCCCCCTCCACTCCCTTTAGACAACTGGCCCTCAAGGCTCTGAACGAGCGGCTGAAGCGCGTGGAGGACACGTCGGCGTGGCCCAGCATGGACGACGAGGAGGACGAGGACGAGGTGCGGACCGACACACAGCCGCTCCTCCCGGGACCGCCGGCGGGGCCCGTCGGCGCCCCCCTCTCCTCCGCCTCGCAGAGCGGCGGGGGGCCGTCCGGGGGCGCGGCGCAACACCCAGAGTCCAGCATCATCAGCTTCGAGGACGCCCCGTCCCGGTCGTAACAGACGGACCGAGATGCGTCCGGCCGTCCGCGACTAGTGTAAAAAAAATACGCTCGGCGAGTAGCTACGCGCTCACAGACAACACGTTCGACTAGTTCACGCGCGCACGGCCGAGCCCTCGCGAGCGCGCCGGCAGTGCCATCGCCACGGCCGAGAGGGTCGGCGGTGTGAAGCGCTGCCTCGGCTCTTCTCCTCCTTCCACGCATTCGCGAGCCACCGACCGCAGATCTCGGCCAGACTTGATCCCGACCGGCGGAGCTCGGCCCGCTGCTTCACGTGTCGCTTTTCTCTTGCTTTCCAAATAAAATAAAACACAAACGGGTGCACAGTAGTCTTCATAAAAGTGTATTTCGGAGCACCCGTGGGTTGTTCTCTGGTTGGCTTTCCACGATAAAAAGACTCGCACGGAGCTCTCGGCGAGCGGCAACTCTACGCGCCGGAGAAACCTGAAGCTGACCTTGGCTTTTAGTTGTTGATGTTTAAACGCCGTGTGTGAAGGAGGAAGTGTTGAAACTAGATCTGCTGAAGGTCTGTGCTGCTGATTAACTGTGATACCAAACTTTTAAGAGTTGAATTGAAGAGAATCACCCCGAATATTTTAGCCGGCCGGCCGTTGTGTCTCTGGAACCGCCGAGTACCCTCTTTTCTAAACCCCCTCCTCCCCCGTTTGCCCTTCAGTGGACTTTCTGAAATTCTGCCATTTTATTCTTCTTCTTTTCACTATGTTCATCACTAAACAAAATCCCCCCAAAACCTGTTTTGTTTTTGTGCGCTTCAGAAGTGTTCTTTTTTTTTTTTGGGTGCTTCTTGTTCTATGAGTTATAATGAGATGATTGTTTGTCTTTTAGCTTAATATTAAGCCCACAACAGCAGCATCACCCTGTACCGCTTTACACCTCCTAGGATCTGAAATGATACAATGTGCTTGATTGTGTGTGTGTGTGTGTGTGTTCCATCAAAGCCGGCGCTGATGTGTCCTGATGAGGAGAAATATCTCCCCAGACCGCTGATCAGTAATCAGGGGAAACGTTTCCCAGTCACATTCTTTCCACCTGTGACATCTTTCATCTCTTTGCTCCTGGTACCAGGGACGACCGCTGGTGAGAACGTTTTCTTAGAAGATTGATCTAAATTGTTTCAAAATGCTCCATAAATTCTAAGCAGACCCAAAGGTCAGTGATTCATTCATTTTGCATCTGGCCAGATAAAATGTTTCCTAATTGAAGGAGAATTTCCAAATCGCTAAGCCGACGCAACAATGAAAGAAGACGTTGAAATCTACAAACTACACAACATGAATGAAGGTGTGAAATGTTTAATTCAAAAATAACAGCCTGTCTTCTGTATTTGATCATCTGATATTAGTAGCATGAGGAAGAATCTTGCTGCGGCATTCCTGACCGTTTAGTTTGTCACTGACTGGGTCATCTCTAAATTAAAAACCAATGAAATGTAACGAGGCAGAGCGGGATAATCATCGGCCGCCATCAATGACCGGGAGGAGAGAACAGGCCTCCTTGGTCTTCTGTGGTTATTTAATATAAATCTGGGTATTTTACACTATGATACACGTGATGTTTACACATGTGTTCTATCTGTTGGAAATGGCGGAATATTACAAGTGAAATTACAACGTTTTTCTTTATTCTGAGAGATTCTCTCTCGTCGCGTCTGCACTGGAGCTCTGCTGCCGCTTTTGCACTTTTTGAGGAAGGACCGCCCCGACGGCGTGTCCCTTGATATTATGATGGGCAAATTCAGATTAAACGTCTCACTTTGGACTCCAAATTCCAGGCAGCGATTAAGTTATTTCTTCCCCCAGATGGAAATGTATAACGTAAAGGAAGCGATAAGCCATATTTGAGTGATGCCGTTCGTTGGGCTCTTCACTGTTCCTCCTCGTCCCCTCTGCTCATTTCACTGTGCTCTCATTTTTAACAGGACTGTGTGTCTGTGTCCATTCCTCTGGCGATGGCGTGTCAAAAAGCAACCCGTACATTCAGCTTTGCGCACAATGTTAAAGAGCAATCTGTGTCATCTTCAGAGCTTTTTAATTACAAGTTGCAGCTTTCATCGGCAGAGCGCAACGAGGCCCGAACACCATTACCTCTCCATCTTTGTTCCCTTTAGTCTTTTTATTCTTTTCCTTCCTGTATATTCCTATTTGTGCTGCGGGAAAACGTCCCGACGGAGAAGAAAGGAATAAAATCATGTGTGTGGACGATGCTGATGTGCAGTTGGTGTCTAAAGGAGAGGAAACCGACCCGTTGGTCCAGGACCAGTCGCACCACAGGGGGACTACGGATAAACCTCAGCAGGGGCTCCTGTTGGCCCCCCAGCAAAGCCCGGTTTCTCTAACCAGTCTCTTGAGTCGACAGGGACTAACGGAATTATAATATAATTGGGAAGACGGTCTGTTGGACAATTAAAAAAAACAAGTTGATTATTTGCCTGTCTTCACAACTGATTATGAGCTATATTGACTTATTCTAGCGTTGCTTTTTTTAGTCATGCAGGAAACACGTTTCCTGAACATCTGATGGGGAGACGTCTGTTTTCCTGCCCTAATATGATGGACAGAGTACAGATGAGACGCTTGTCGTCTTGCAAAAGAGTTTATCACAGCAATGGTTTCTTTTTTCGCTGCTCTCATTTACTGCATCTATCCGCAGTTTTTCACCAACAGATCTTGTTGAATCTTGTTGCACAGACTCTTATGTTTTTAGTTTTCCGAAATATTTCTTTATCTCTATATGAAATAAAAGACGGTTGTATGAAATGGAAATGAGCGTACCTCTTGTGGTATTTTCTGTCCTCAGTGGTTTGACCTCTCACTACCCATCCACGAGTCCTACTGATGTAATCTATAAAGGGAAATCGGTTCTAACAGATCCTGAATATTGGTAAAATAATACACTCATTTGTAACTACACGCCTCCTCTGGACGTGTGTAGTTACCTAAACTGTCCGCCAGGCGGGGCAGGGAGCTCGGACGTTCACTGCTGTCTCTTAAGGCCATTACGAGAGAAACTTTAATGGGCTCAATTAACTGTGATTAGGCTACGAACACAGTCCTTATTCTACGTGCGGCAACACCAGCGTTTTGGGTAGTGTCTTACTTGTTAGTTTGTCACTTTCGTTTCGTTAGAAGCTAAAGTAAATGTAGTGTTTATGATAAACGCTACATTTAGTTTTGCTTCTTTATCACCGGGACCAAACCCACTTGAAATATAGAACTATTCGTTTCACTGTGACTCGTGTTGGTGATAGTTAAAGAAAGACTAAAGCAGATTATGTAAAATTACAAAGCGTTAGCATTGTTACAATTGTTTGTACGTTACAACATAATCATCCACAATGAATCTTAAAACACAGGTTGAATAGCTCCACGTAAAATAACTACATTTCCATGCCGTTGATGAGGCGGTAACTGGTCCGGGCGCTCGTGCCCGCGCAGGTGTGGCTCTCAGGCTCGTGCACGGCACCCCTCCCCCCCAGCTACAAACTACAAACCCTGGCGGCGCGCTCGCGTGAAGTACTTCATTGTATCAGCTTGAGACGGGAGGAAGCAACGAGCGACTCGCCTGCTCGGTAACTCTGCACCGGGAAACCACAGAAAAACCCCACAGCAAGCCACATAAACTGCAGGTAAACCACTTTCCGAAGCGCCGGTTCGCTGTGCTGTGATACTCATCTCGTATCGTTAAGTTTGAAAGCCGTCGGGGTTGTTTTAAAAGTTGTCCGCAGCTCCGAGAGGCCGTGCTAGCGGAATCTAAGAGCTAGCGAGGTAAGCTAACGTTAGCTTCCCCCTGACCGACCGCAACGCCGCTTCCGCACTTGCCCCACACACACACTCGCCCCGCGCAGAAAACCGCCGCATTGTGAGTTAATACTCTCCTCAGGCCGAGTGACCTCGGGGAGACTCCACCGACGGGCCGTTTGTACCCCGCGGAGAACTTGGCTGCCGCTTTATAAATGTGACCGTGGGGACCGGCCTAGCCGAACAATGAGGCTCTCTTCCTGAACGGGCGGCTTCCCGGCGGCTCGGCCTGCGCCCCTCGGACGGTCGCTGGCGGTAACGATAGTTAACGAAATATTAAACTCGGTTGGCCGTTTGTTTCCCGCCCACATGTCAAACCCCGTAAAGAGCGAGACACGGCGCTTCCCCCCCCGCGCTGCGATGCTCTCGTGGTGTTCGGTTATCGGAGGGAAGGCTGCGTACGTGTTTCCTCGCGTTACGCGTCGGTCTTTAGGTTAAACGTGTGTAACGTGGGTCCCGGTGTTTGGTTTGGATCGCGGCCGCCCGCCCGTTCCCACACTGCGGACACGCCAGCCATCTGTTGCCTCTGTGTGATGACGCCATCTTTCTGGTGACCCACCCAGTGGCTCGCTGGTTCGGAAGCCGTGTTTGACCCAGACACTGGGGGCTCTCGCGGGCAAGAGACGCGTCCTGTTCGGCCGGTGGGACACGCGAAGCACCGGTTGACGTACGACCGGGTCGTCCAGGTGTAGAGGATCAGACCGCGTAGGTCAGGTGACCCTGACGAAATGACGATCATTACATTGTGGTTGAGCATAAGTATTGTTGACGTGACGGTCTGGGTGCAAGTTGTTTTCATGCGACACCATTATCTTACAGGACCAACAACATCTACACTTACATCCTAAAGAGGGTGTTGCTGAAACGGCTGGAGAATATTACAATTTAAAAAACATTTCATTGTTCCCCAAAGCAGCTGTAATAACGTTTCTTCATGAGAGCTGCCTTTAAGGCCCCAAGGCAGGAGACAGAGTTGTTTCCATAATCGTCACCCTTGATGCCGTTGATTTCATTTAATGTCAGGATTTCTTTTTTGCCAGTGGCAGAGGACCCCTGGGAATATGTGTATAGGCGGGACCAGCTGATTTCTTTTTTACCTTATTTTCGAGGTGCTAATCCTATTAAAAGTCCTTTATCCCCAGGGGTCATTTTAAATGACTATCAGCGGAGTTCATTGTAGTCTTAATGGTCCACTTTTATAAGCCATTGATGTTTTTTTTATGCTTGTTGACAAGGATCTTCTTGAGTCTTTGACTATCGCACAGATGGACGTTGGTGAAGGTCTAAATTAGCGGTATGATTTATCTGGTTAACTTGAAAGTTGAGGTCTCCCTTACTTGTTGTGGCTGTCATTTTGATTGGTCACATTGTTGCATAAAGCCAAATCAAATAAAAGGTCACCACAATGGATTGTGTCACTATGATTCTTCGCAATAATGGGTTCATTAGAAATATTGCCGCCCATATGCTCGCATGTCATGGCTGCACAGCAGCAACACCTGCCCAAGCTTCTGTCAAACTGCCAGAAGATTGCGTGGGCCATTTCCTGGCATGAGCGCGCAGACACACGGGCCTTTTGATGCCTGTGTGGGGTTTTTCTAAAGGACATCCTGATGAATCACCAAGCGCAGCCCCACCATTTTATTAATACTGTTAAAGCTGTGCCGTGCAGAATGAACATCGATCCCCAGGTTAGGTTTTTCACCAGCAATCATGCCGCCACCGTTGCGTTGATTATTGATGATTTCTGTGGGAGTATCATTAGCAATGCATTTGTTTTTACGGCATAATGCGTAAAATATTAAAATCCGCCCCGTTTTTTGGTCCTCCTGTTGCCATCGAGTTCTCTGCTCTTGGTAGTGTGTTAATCTAGTGTTGACGTTCTCTAATCGGCTGGTATAGGAACCAGGGATACGGCTCACGAAAACATCTCGGCCCTCCCCTCCCAAATTCTTCGCCAAGCATATTTTAGCAAGACAGGAGACAATGAATGTGAGACATTTTTTAAATGCATGAGACACGAGTTGTGTGTTCAGACACAACATTCTCGTTTGCTAATGGACATTTTCCTGTTTTCTTGTGCACGATGGGCCCCTCCTGTTATGTTGTTTTCATTGTACCCCTGTTGAGAGTTTTTCCTACATTTTTAATCCAGGAAAAGGTTTAAATACAAATTTATTAATAGAGCGTTACACCCTGAAAACTAGGTGCTGTTTGGTCTTATTACTGATTACAACACTTAAAAAATCTTCTAAATAAATCTGTGTCATTTTAAGGATTTACAAGCACCTAGAGAGCGTTTGTAGAAAAGGAGGCCACGTTGTTATTTATCCCGGTTCCCCCGCTGGTCAAACGTTTTGAGCATTGACCACAGTCGCCTCGAGGCCATAGCCGCCCCCATTTCTGTCTTTTTTTACACTGAGTGGATGGTCTAATCTTCTTTGACACTGCTGTCCTACTTTGAGTATTCATCTACCATACATAGAAAGTATGCAGCACCTCAATGGGCTAATGGGGGTTGAGATTTTAAGTCCATTATAATCAACTCTTCTAGTTGTCTGTACTGACTGTAATGCAAATAGTATGGCCCATGTGCCACAGGACACATGTTACCGCCCAGATGTGGTTTAGAAAAGGGCCGGGTTGTTTTCCATCAGAACGGGGACGAATCTGCTGACCCGAGGATAACGACTCCAGCCAGCACACGGTTAACGGTAGCTGCAAATGCAATAGAAACTGCTGCACCGACAAAAAAGGAAAAGACTTTAAGGGGAAGTAAGACAGACCGGAGGCACGAGGCAACGGTCTCATGCAAGGCAACTTAACGCCTGCTGCCTCCAGTATCTTGTTTTAAGGGGCAGAGGTGACACACGAGGCGGTTATTGAACTTGGAGTGGAAAAACTTTAGCTCAGCTGATGCGTTTCAGAAAGCGCAGCGGAGGCGTCGGGCGACCGGTCTTCACGCCCACAGCCGACTCGCTGGCTTGGCGGTGGAGGAACGTGATGGACAGCGCACAGAGCTGCCCCTCTTCAGAGGGAGGAGGAAATGAGCCATCCGGGATGTGATTTATTATCCTCTCTACACGGGGTGCGCTTGTCCCAGTGTAGTCAGTACACAGTGTGTGTACTGTGCTGATACAAAAGATGGCTGCCATGGATGATGGGTGGTGTTTGATGTGTACTGGGTGAATAAGGGGCCTTTTATACACCATTCCCCGACTATTTCGTGTTTTAAGTTGTGGTTAATCGCTGTTGTCGTCAAATCTTAATTCTCGATCTTAATTATTGTCATTCTACAACCGATTGAATTGTGTTCTCTTTGTAAAATAGTGTTTCCCAATACGTAGTGACCAAGATGCTATCAGCAAATGACAAAGGCACAAGGCCACATGACTCTGTTGGATCATTTACTGTCATGGCTTACTTGAACCATCTCTTTTTTAGCTATCACGCCCAAAATATACCAGACAGAAATCACACATTCTTAAGATTCCATTTTTCATTGCACAACCACCTGAGAAGCCCCGAACGTCACATTGAGAGCCCCTGATCTTCCAGCTCTGTGGTTAAATGTGTCATATGTTGCGCGTGTGCTACGTGACTCAGTCTTGCTTTCACTGCACAATTGCTGCCATTATCTGTGCGTGTGCGTGCGTCGGCGTTAGTATGCACCTCTGTGTATATTGACACTAACTTTGCATTGTTTTGCAAGCAATTGCCCCGCTGTACGTTAGCCGCGGCCTGTTTCCTCCTCTTGTCCTGGAAATCTGCTGTAGCAGATGTCCTCCGTAAATGTCCTGCTTCTCACGGGGCTCCTTGATCACAACCTCCTCCTCTGTTTCCCTCCAGGGATGGCAGCCATCCGCAAGAAGCTGGTGATAGTGGGGGATGGTGCTTGTGGAAAGACCTGCCTTCTGATCGTCTTCAGCAAGGACCAGTTCCCTGAGGTCTACGTCCCCACTGTGTTCGAGAACTACGTCGCCGACATAGAGGTGGATAGCAAACAGGTGAGGCCAACGCAGGGATTGTGTGGGTTCAATTTTTGGCCTCTTGTTTGTTTGGTATAAAATGCCCTCAACTGCTGTACCGACTCGAGCGTCTAGTTATTGATATTACAAAAGCAAAACAAACTAATGCTTTAATTAATTGCAAACCTTTCATTCCCCCCAGAACCTGCACATTGTAGCTACGACAATATATTTTCCTCTGCAGTGTGACGCCAAGGTTCCTAATGTCCTCGGGCCAACTCGTCAGTCGTACACCCCCATGCCCTGACCTCGTTCTGGGTTAATGGGATTGTGGGACGTTGCGTCTTTTATTGGCTGATTGACTTCTAACTCCGTGCAGCCGAGGCTCCTTCTCGTCAAGCGTCACTGTTTGGCTTTTCAGTGCTTTCGCTCAGTTTTCAAACCGTCCCCGTCAGTCTGTATCGCACCGGCCTTGTTCCAGAGTTTCAATCGGGGTGAAGAAATATACAATATTTATTAGACTTTTAAAAAGGCTCCTATGTGCCATTTAATTAAAATGGAATCTTATTTAATTTTATAAAAACATTCAAAGAACATTCTGCCATCATTACGATACATTTGAATAGCTTTTCTTTATTATACTCACACATTTTCATCCTATACTGATCTGCCTCCCGGTGGAGTGAGAGTGAGTCTGTCCATTTTATCATCGCTGTCACGGCGAGGTCTGCTTGTTTATCACCTCATTTATTGGTTGGCTGCAATGTGAAAGTTTTATGCTGGTCAGGATGGCGTATTAACGTCTTTGTTTTCTCCCTTGCCACACTCCCGTGCCCTTCACCCCACCCTTGACGTGTGTCTGTCAGGTGGAGTTGGCGCTGTGGGATACTGCGGGTCAGGAGGACTACGACAGGCTGAGACCTCTCTCCTACCCAGACACTGACGTCATCCTCATGTGCTTCTCCATAGACAGCCCCGACAGCCTGGGTGAGTGCAACCCACTCGCATGTATGAGCCCCGGCGTTGGGGTCCGTCTCCGAACCACGGAGCCGCACTGACGCACCTACGCAAATGACTTGTCAGGCCTCAGCAGCCAGCGCTGCAGTAAAACCCGTCGGGTCTTTTGTGTCAGCATTGTGATTACGCACTTCAGTGAGCACGTGGAAAGGTGGTAAAACCAGACATGAACTCCACACCGGAAATTACAGACGTAGCTAAACAAAGGCTTATTGTGCTATAACTTTATTATTCATTACATCTCTTGTTAAACCACTGTTTTTGCTGACTAAGCTGGCCGGGGGTTCGTTTTCCCCATCTGATACAGATGAGATATGGAGGCTCTTTGTGATTTGTCTTCAGAAGCAGAACAGAATTTTTTAGTAACTCTATTTAAATTGAGTCTTTTGTAGATAACCAGAAGCTTGTGATTGAACTTTTTTAACTCATTTAACAAACAGGTAATTGCTGTGCCATCACATATTTCATCAGCTGTGTTTCCATGTTTTCTGCTGGCACCAGCATTCCTTATGGGTTTGTGGGATTCTGTAAGTAGGTTTTTGGTATTTCCTGTGTTTTGAGTGAGACCACAAAAAGATAAAGAACGGGCTTAGAAACGCGTTGGATAGCTCTCTCCCCTTCTTTCCTGTTCTAATAATAATTAGTATTTCTTTCTAATCGCTTTTCTTTTTTTTTTCTTCCCAGAAAACATCCCAGAGAAGTGGACCCCAGAGGTGAAACACTTCTGTCCCAATGTTCCCATTATCCTGGTTGGAAACAAGAAGGACCTGCGTAACGACGAGCACACGCGCCGAGAGCTGGCCAAGATGAAACAGGTACATTAATGTCTGGTCCTCATCGCTATTTGGAATTAGTTTGAGTTATCGACACGTTTCAACGGTCTCCTGAACCTTCTCGCCGTTTGTTTCTTCGTCCGATAGGAGCCGGTGAAGTCTGAGGAGGGCCGGGACATGGCCGGCAGGATCGCGGCCTTCGGCTACATGGAGTGCTCCGCTAAGACCAAGGACGGCGTGCGGGAGGTGTTCGAGATGGCCACCAGGGCGGCGCTGCAGGCCCGCCGCGGGAAGAAAAGCAATAAATGTGTCGTGCTGTAAAATGGCCGACATATTTGGACTGTTTTCACCCTGGGCTTCTGCAGCCGGGGATTGGGGAGGGACTGGGGATTACTAGACGGGGAGGGAGGGGAGGGGGGTGCAGCAGCAAGAAGAAACAAGTGCAGTAAATGACTACCGCTGTAAAATGGCTGTTTGTTGGACTGAATTGACCCTGGGACGTGGAGCGGAATGGATGGGTGGGTTTGGGGGGGACGACTACCGCTCAACCATTGGGCTCTTTGCCAGAGTAACATCACGTTGGGACCTTTACACCAGCCACCACATATATGCTGGTGCATTTTATTTTATTTTTTCATCAAGCCACTTACAGATCTTCGAATTCATTCAGTTTCCAGTTAATTACCGGGCGGTCCAGATTGTGTTCCCTATGAACAAACGAAAAGGTTTAGTTTCCTGCCTGGAGGCCTCGATGCAATATGGGGGCGAACAGGGCTCAGCCAATGTAGACCACAGGACTGGGAGGACTGCAGCGCTGATCAACCACGAGGGGATCAGCGCCCAAAAAGTAGACGCATCCGCACTAAACTTCATATCTTGTTCTTCTCAAATCTTCAATTTGTAAAATAAGACATTCGAATAAACTAAAAAAAAAAGCCGGTCCTGTTTGTTGAACAAGTGGCCACCTGCAGCCGGGTCTTCTGGGTATTATCATCATCAGAGTGGCAGGGAGCCACGTGCTCACGTGTCCGGGTACGTCGCTGCGGATAATCCCGCGCTCACGGTGACAAGCGCGCTGAGCCGTACTCCCGCCGGAGTGCAGCTCGCGCGCGGTTTTGAGGGCAGCTGAAGTCAGCGCTGGTTGCAGAGCTGCTTCCTGTGCGTCACGGCTTGAGCTGTTCGCCACCTGGATTCCCCCTCGCCGCTTTAAATGTCAAACATGTCACCAGGAGGGTTTGCAGAGGCATCATGGCGCCGATCAGCTGACCATTCGTGTCCCCTAGGCGGTCTCCGTGGAAGTGGCAGGTTAATTGTGGTCCGGCTGGATGACCCACGGTATTTTTCTGTCCCACATCAATGGCCGGACCGAGGAGGGAGGAGAGCCCTTCTTGGTCCACACAGCCGAATATTGTGTTTACAAGCATCCCCACACATTTGGGATGAACGAATGGGATGAATTTTCTTTGTGTAGGCAGGTGTAAAGGTCCAGTGTACCGTTCTCCAGAACTAGTCGATGGTGTTCTAGGATGTTATTCAGCGGTAGCGGTTGGCACCTACCATCTGCTTGAATAGTTCCACTCCACAAGACAAACCTGACACGTTTTTAATATTTTCTGGAGATGCCAGAATGGTCAGGTTGGGCTGTAAAAATAAATAGAGCTCTTTGTCACGGAGTGGCAGCTTGAGCATTTGCCATTTGACGGTCTTCATCTCTCCTGAGTGTTGATCCCTCCCATTCCTCCTCCTGGCCAAAGGGGAGGAGCCTGTTCCAGAAACTTGGTCTTGTGTCGTTTTTTTTATACTTTTATTTCCTGCTTTTAAAAAGAAAAAGTCAAAAAACATGTATCAGTATTTAAAAATAAGAGGTGGAAGACTATGGGACTGCTTACGTGTCGTCGCTTTGGTTAATTCTTTTGTGCTTTTACCGGGATTTTCTCGGATGATTGACGGGTCCATACGACAGACTGTCAATCATCTCTGCTGTTGTTGGGCAGTGCGGAGAAAGGCCGGCCTCTCGGCTGCCTGTAGAGCATCGCCAGCTCGTCTGCTCGTGAACACAAACGTGGCTGAAAAAGACAAAGGAAAAACGATAAGTCTCCTTATGTACAAATTTTTATTTCTACTTTTATTGTATTTTTAAAATCCTAATTTTGGATGCTGAAGCAGAGATGTAAACCAAGCGACCGGGAAAAACCGAGCTGTACGCAAAGTCTGTAAATATAGAATGTGGGTTTGTTCATACTAGACTACACACACGCACAAGACTGGAAACTGTATTTGTAAACTAGCTTTGGTTTGTGTAATAAATGACTTTCTATAACACAGCTCCTGTTTCTTGTGGTCTCGGCGGGGTGGAGAAGAGCTATTCAGTTCAATCAATACACGTGAACTATGAATGCATAGAGATGGATGAACGTGACACACTGACCCCATGTGAAGCGACCGATGAATATAAAGAGTTTATGTAACCGGCAGCAAAGTGTCCGCAGAGACTTCCAACCACGAATGAAATCCATCTTAATTCTGATCTTTTTCTTTTCAAAGCCCATTTGGTTGACTATGAGCTCCATATAAGTACTGCATGCTGACACAACTGCATTTTAATTAACTGAGTTTTAAGATAATGTGCTCATGGGTTATTTTGCATTAGTGACGGTTGTAGCTGTGGGTTTTAACTGCAGATTGGTAAAAAATAAAACCCCTCTGCAGCAGTTTGCTTGGACGAGCTGCATCGCAGAGCCCCATCTGATCACAAACCAGGGCCAGCAAATGACCCTCACTGTGAGAACTGTTTATTCTATTTTCATGTCTCTGCCTGTCCATATAAACGATGCTGTAAGAATTAACATTAATTCGTATCTAAATGGAGCCTCTCACAAGATCATTGCTGCATAGCGTGGAGCGACTCATTTCACTGCACCACCAGCCGGGGGACGAGCCAGCGGCTCCGCTGCCGGAGAGGAGCCAGTGTGTGGGATGCCGAGGTGAGGCCTGTGTGGGCCGAAGCTGGATGCTGTGGAGCGATAGCGAGAAGCTCGGAGCTTGTGGACCTGCTGCGGGACCCACAATGCACTGCGGCGGTTGCGTAAGGGCCGAGCGGAGGCGTGAGAATCCAGGAATAAAGTGGATGTACGAACAGGATGCCGCGCTCGCAGCGACCTCTTGGTATATACAAATATGTACGTTGGCCTCACTGGGGATGCGGTTCATTCCGCTTTCACAACTGATGTGGTCCCGATAGCTTCTGAAATCTGTGACTTGATGCCGATAAAACCATCCTTCTGTTTTCGCTTCCACAGCAATACTGCAGCGTGGACACAATAGGGAGGAAGTATTGGTATTCATGACGAGGGTATTTCAAGTGTCCTGAATTGTGCGAAGCATAAACCGTGGGGACGCATTTAGAGCGGAGGCTGAAAAACAGCAATATTAACAATAAATGATCCACGGATCTTTTCAGATTTTTTATGAAATATGGTGTTTTGCCCCATACATTCACAGCGCTACAGGAGGCCTGTGTGAGGAGGAGGAGGAGGAGGTGTAGCTGTGGGCGGGTATGAGAGGAAACAAGAAGTCCGTCTGTGTGAAAATGACAGAATAACCTTACAGTGAAACGCCTCCCTCTCGGCCTTCTGAGAAGTGAATTGTTATCTCTAAGAGGAAATCTGTGTGATGGCTTTCCTGTGACAATGCATTATGAAATACTGTATTTGGCTGGAAAATGTTCTAAAACCATAATGAATCTGTCACAATATGGCTTTTATGTCATTCAGAATCATCCAGTATGGACATGCACTGTTTCTACTGGAGAGGTGGTGTGGAAACGTTTAACCAGTAAAACATATTATTTAACCTGTGAGAAGCAGATCGGTAGAAGTACCTCAGATGTGTACTTGAGTACATTCCAGCGTGACGTCCACACAGATGGTGTCATAACACGTCACAGAGATTCTTCGATCTTTATCTTTCACATCACATGCAGCCATGTAGTCATCGCAATAAAGACACGGCCCGGACGATGAGTCAACAACTAAAACCTAAAGAGGCCGCTTGTTGGTGGGTTACCTCAGTCCCAGCTATTGTGTGAGGGACATCCGTCACTATTCTGCTGTGAACGCTGTTCCACTGGTGGAGGGAGGGAGGAAGGGTGGAGGATATCTGTGGCTTTCTCGAGAGGCATTTAGCATGAAGTCAAAGGGGAAGGAAGGAAGTTCATCACTGGCTACTCCACCCAAAGCTGGTGGCCGGGCGTCATGTAAGACACAACGCCGCCCGTGAGGCAACACTGGCGGAGGAATGAGCCGCAGAGACGCTGCTGAGCGGCGACGTGGCTTCTCCACGTTTCTTCCTCCCGGTGCCTCACCCTGTTTCTCTCTCCCTCTCTCCCCGCTGCTCCGTCGGCCTGCCGGGGAGCAACAGCGCGCGGTGGAGCTCAACCGCCGGATTTATATACCGGTCTATTTTTAGCCTCTCGCGAGCCCAACTATTTTTAACCAATATGAGCTCATCAACCACCGGACTCATCCAATGGGAAGAAAGGCAGAGGACGGGGAGGCCGTCCAATGGGAGGGAGCCTAGCAAGTGCAGCGAGGGAGGAGACGGTGACAGACCTCTCACTCTGCCGCTTTGCAGCGCACCACGTACCACGAGTCCTGCACATTTCAAAGCTAATTCAAGGCCCAGACAGGCAACGCATTATCTCTCAGAAGGCTCCATTCTCATAAGATAAAAAAGAAGCATTCTGGTAGAGCTGAAAAAAATCATGTTCTAACAACCAACAATCTAACAATGACAGTATTTGTCATTTTGATAATGATAAATACAAGGAATGACATTAAATCTGTTCAGTCCTTCAATTGCAAGATCGGCGGTTTGATCCTCGGATCCACTAGTCCATATCGATGTATCCTTGGGCAAGATACTTAACCTCAAAGTGGTTCCTGCTCAATGAGCAGCTCAAGGCCACAGATCTTTTGGTTTACATACAGAGCTGCTGCATTGCGTGAGAGAGTGAAGCTTCTTTCTTTTATTTTGTTGGTCATCGTTGAATAGACGATCTTCGCTGGTGACTTTGGACTGTCTCTGCTGATGTTCGTGGTGTATTTTTTTGTTATGACTTTGGGAGCGAGGCTGTGAAAAGGATTGCCCCAGGACAGTGAGTCACGCCTACACCCACCTATTCCGTACATTCCAAAAGGTTATTTTTAGGCTGTCTGCACCGAAACACAACGCCCATCTGTGACGGTTCCTCTGGTGGTACAAGTTTATAATCTCCGTGACACATACTTAAAATAACAGGGTTGACCACAAAATGTAGTTTCTCAGGCTTTCTGGGATTACTCAGCCACGGTGCTGGTTCTATTTCGCTGTAGACTCACTATTGGCTGACGTTAATCTTGCAGCGCGCTCCCGACAGACGCGCCCCCGCGAGAAAGCTTCCAACGTGACGGAAGCGCGCAGAACGATCAGTCAAACCCACCGCTCCCCGCAGAACACGCACGCGTGAAAGCCCTCACGTCTGTGGAACTATTCAAATCCATACGACTCTCTGGGAATGAATCGAAATGGCCCATGTTATAATTATGCGGCCCTTTAAAGAAAAAACCCTGTAATCGAATATCACGGCAAAGGAATACATTATAGATGACTGCTAACAATACATGTGATCACTATAGATACATAGTAACTACGTGAAGTATAATAAATAACACCATATTTGTGTTGTCTGAGTATTATTTGATGTGTGACAAATTCGGGCAAGCATATCATACATTACACATATATATTTATAATATTAGATGACGATAATATTATAACATCTACCCTCTAAATATTTTCCTCACAGTATTTTATGGTAAAGCAATGTCTTAAACATTGCGTGAACCGTATTTAATGCATGCGCGTGCTCTCTGACAGGTGATCGTACACTGGCCTCTAGTGAAATAACGCTGTCATTACATCTCACGTGCAGATGCAAGCGTCGCTTCTCCTCTTCTGCGACGCTGAAGCCATCGTGACGGGGTTTGTTGTATATATGCTCCGCTAAATGCGCCATCGGAATTACTTTAAAAAGAAACAAGAAAGTCTCGTTAGATTCGCTCGCCTTGAAGTTCTCGTGAGAATTCAGTTTTTCCCGAAGCGCGAGATTTTAATCAGGCGAGCGGCGGAAGAAACGTAAGATGGCAGCACAGTCCCGCGTGTGCGAGGCGACGCACTGCATGTTTATCACCTCGGTTCGTTCGTGAGAGACACACGTGACATCTGAGTAAGGTTTAGGTCGTTCAAACTCATGTTAGAATTCGACTCTCATTGTGCAGTTATTTGCCTCGTTAATAAAAGGACTTTGACGTCATTATGTCACAGTCGGAGTATTATCCCTGCAGATATACTCCGACTTACACCAATGATAAATACTATTTCATATCTCCTCTTAGTGGTGCTGCTATATGTGTGCCGCAGCTATTGTGTCTGTAAACTGGCTCTTATAAAACGGGTTTAGAACAAATAATACTAACGTTCACTTCACTTCACTTTTTGCTGTCTCTAAACAAGACAACCAGTTGCTACCACCCTCATCTCTAATACGACAATTACTCTTTCGGTGCCATAACGCAACATTTTAAGCGAACAGGCTAAAATCCCCTATTATTCAATAAATGCTTGTTTGTGTCTCCTTACCAATTTACTTACACAACCACAACTATCATATACACTTTGAATTAGTTACATTAGGGTTCATATCAGCATGAAAAGGAGGCGCAAACCTCATGAAACTAAGCAGACGGAACAACACGAGGACAATAAGATACTCATTAAATGATTCTCACAACCTACAAATCCCAGTGAATGCACACGAGTTAATGTGTGTGTGTGTTTGCAGAGAATGGCAGCGGCAGGATCTGAGGCCTGTAACCATCACGACAGCGGGAGCTCATCCGCTAATTCACTAATTGACGTCACTTGTCAGAGACAACGCCGAAGCTTTTTTGTTCACCCTACCCGGGACGCCATTAGTTGTAATTAACAGGCTGACTGATCAGGTAAAGTTGGCGAAGAGCTTCTAATTATCCCGTCTGCATGAGCCGGCAGTTTAGGACCTCCTTGTATATCAGATGTATGGCGGGAGCTTGAAGGTAGAAGTAGAGGTTACGAGTCTGTTAAATCTTTTCTCCTCACGAGTGATGCACATGGCGACATGCAGCAGAAGGAGTGGCTTTGCCCGTAGAACCAAGCGCCTCCCCGCATTATCTGCATGCAGCACTCTTTTTGTTTGGCTGTAAATCAGGCCGAATGACGCTTCTTGTTACGTTGCAGGTATAAAACATGCAACGAGACTCAGGGAATCGCGAAAAAAACTGTAATATCAGTCTCTCAGACTATGTATTATCTTTGCAAAAGGCTGCACATCGTCAGACGAGAGATTGTTGAGTCTTGTGTTCGTCTTCTTGTCACATGCAGGATTTTCATCAACTGAAAATGAAAGTGAACAAAGGTTGATTGACAGGTGATCCTGAGATCAGGATGACGGCCACGGTAGAAAACCGCAGCCACGAGAGTGAGAGGTCAGCAGGAAAAACCTCCAATACAATAAGAGTGATGACGATACTAAAAATGTATGCGTTGTTCGTTACGCTGAGCAAAGACACATCGTCTGTGGGGATTTAGGGAACAATGGAGTTTTGTCTAGCTGCGGAAAACATCACTTTACCAAATTAAATGGGCGAAATAAAATACTTAATGTTAATCTTCATCAGCGTCTTGCTCAAGGTCCTCCGGCAGGGCACGGTGCCATCAGCCAGTCTGTGGAACCAAGAGGCAACTTCTGCTTCTCCTGATGAATAATGAGGAAACTTAACTAACAAGCGGTTTGCTGAGCTCTGCCTTCATGTGAGCTTGTGTAGACACCAGGTTACAGGCCTTCTAATCCTATAATTAAACTGCTGGCTGATATTGCAACAAAGGAAAACCTCTCCTAATTATACAACGTACAAATGCAAACAAGTCTGCAGAATGAATCATTTAGGAATCATAAATCCTTGGAGAGACTATATATACTTGTTAGTTTGCTGCAACCTAAATTCATTATTTATCCCCGAGAATGAATAAATTGTCTCCGTTGGCCTGCTATTGAACTCGAAGCCGGTGAAAGATTCTGCCTGTGCTGCCGCACCCCAGCGAGCAGCTTTCTAATGAAAATAACACGAGCTTTAGTGGTTGCATTTGGGTCGGAACTGGAGCCTTTGAAAATAATGACTGATGAAGAGACGGAGTGAACGGTTACATGTTACTTGTAATGCACTGCGTATCGACCTTTACACGGCCTGAGCCCCTCAAGCAGGAGCCTGCTGGCTTCTTATTTTTTAACTTTTCTTTCTTTCTATTCTTGCTACCAAATCAAACATTGTTGAGATTCAACTCTGTCTAAGTTTGCTCTGTTTGTGTGCCTGATGGAAGGTGTTGTGTGAGAGTACTGGAGGCAGCGAGGGGGAAAAGGAAGTGAGCGACGGAGAGAGTGAGACAAAACGGCAATAAAGATGAAAGCCGATTTGTCTCTTTCGTTTCCACTTTAACTAGGTTTTCCCAAAGGAAGCAATGAATGGGCGCGCATGCCGGCATTGCAGGGTGGCCACAATGATCTGGGATCTCGCTCCCTCCGCCTCCCAGACAGAGTGAGGGAGGGGAAGGGAGGGAGAGAGTGAGCGCAGTCACATGCAGAGAGGAGCCGGGACCAGAGACAGAACAGGAGAGAGCTGTCAAGCTGCGAGGAGGCAGCGCAGAGACGACTTAGTTCTTTTTTTTCTTCCTTGGAATACATTTTCCCCTCCGACCCTGAAGCCCACGCACACACACACACACACACACACACACACACACACACACGCTAGAAAAAGAGATATAAACACACAAACTCACAGATGGTAAAGAGTGTGAGCAGTGAGTGTTTTTTCAGGATCTGGACGTATTGAAGCCTGACTAACACAACAGTTTGGATTCAGCATCTTTGCCACTTTGACTTGGACTTAGCGGCGCAGCAACACTTTGGACTGAGAGTGCGTGTGTAGCTGTCTCGAGTGTGCGCGAGTGTATCTCTGGATCTGGCGCGTCCCCTGAACGCGGCGCTGAGATTTGGGCTCGCGGCGAGTCGGGCACTTGTTACTGTGGTGGGTCTGCATTTGTGTGTGTGCGTGAGGAGCAGGATGAACTGGCCGCTGACGGCGCTCCTGCTGGCCCACTTGGGGGCTTCCTTAGCGGGGGCATGGAGAGCATCTCAACCCAGACTGCAGTTCACACACTCCGGTAAGAGGCTCTTTGTTACTGGGGCTCTTTGCTCTCAATGTCTCATGCATCTGTTGCCCTGTCATTCTCTAACACACACACACACACACACACACACACACACACACTCGTGCAGGTGAATCAAACGTCTCTCCTCATCATCACCTCGTCTTCCCTCACTGCACATGTGATATGCGACATGTGGATCACAAATGATCCCTTGTCCCTCCACCTGTTCTGTTCCGCTGTCTCGCTGTCCTCCACCTCTGCAATAAACTCCGTATGATTCATATTTCTGTCCAAAAGTGGCATCGTTTAAGTGCTCATTTCCAACACACTTGTAACGGTAGAACGTTTCCTGGATTACACATTCAGAGGGATTTTCCTAATTTTGACATAACTAATAATTTAAATTATTTGTAAACTGTGTTTATTTGTACAACTGTAGTGAAAAGCTGCTTATATTCTCTACAATATACACCTGATAACACTATGACAGAAAGAGTAGACCAGGTCAAAGTTTAACAGAGTCGCTTTTGTCCGCATATTAGATGTTGGCAGAGGACTCCGCTATTAAACTTCTCACCAAAAGACATTGTCCCTGTTATTTCCAACGGGACGGAACCTCCTGGGGATTTGGAATCCAGTGTCAATGTCTCTTAGTTCCAGTTACTATCAAATAAATAATAACCGCATGGCTCGAGTCCAAGATCCGGATCGGCATCAAATGAATTGTTTCTTGGCCTCGGGCCAATCTGTCCACCACGGTGGAGTCCAGGCCGAGGTCGCTGGAGAAACACGCAGACACACACAGGAACTCCATCATTTATTCGCTGTGTAATTACAGCTCTTTAGCTACTGGATACATTGATCATGTACTCTGATGTGTTGCAGCCGCTCTTTATGCGCGTTTGAACGCTCATGTGCGGTTGGATTGGAGCAGATGGGTCCAATCTTCTAACCCGTGAGTAGGTTCGCATCATTGGAGGATGGGAGGGGGATTAGAGGGGACTTGGTGGAATTGGTGAATCCTGCAAACAGCATCTGAGCCATGTGTTCTGTTGTTTGGGTATAACTACTGTGACGGTCCGAACTAATGAGATCGCAGAAATCTGCATAATGGAAACCAGATTTGTGGTGTGATCCTCTGAAGTCTGAGCCATATTCACTACGAATCACCTTCAAACTAAAAACTTCTCTGAGCCTTTAGTCACGCTCACATAAACCCGTGTTTATGGCTTTAAGAAACAAACTGATTACACGTTATGACAAACACAAAGTGTGTGTGAAGGAGACGCGATGAGGCTGCAGTCGGCCGGTCGTGACCCAGAAAGCACCGAGAGAAGGAAAAGGGAAACCTCGTCAGATTCTCCCAGGTGGGAATTTAGCTCTAATGAAAGCTGATTGTGATAATGTGGAGAGCTGCTGAAGTAGCCGTGAGTGTGTGTGTGTGTGTGTGTGTGTGTGTGTGTGTGTGTCTTTGTGAGCGTGCAAATGTGCCTGTGTGTCCTTTAAGTGTGTGTGTATCTTTGTGTGGATGCATGAAGTATGTGTCTGTGTGTCGTCGAGTGTGTGTGTGTGTGTGTGTGTGTGTGTGTGAGTCTAAATACAGCTGTTTGGGTTGGTGTGTTGTGTTTCTGCTCATGGCTTTGAACTAGAAGGGTCGTTTGTTTGACTGTGTGTGTTTTATGGCAACAGGCGGCGTGTTCATCATTGGGAAGAGAACAGAAAGAAATATGGGATGCGTGTGTAGGGTTTGTGGCTTCCACCATTAAGTCTGTGTGTGTGTGTGTGTGTGCGTGTGTGTGCGCTCTCTGTGGGAGCTCCATGTTGTGGTCATTTCCCTTCCCATCACCACGGAGGCTTTTCTCAGACACAGGGAGGAGATCGTTTTTTGTCGGGGAATGGCTGTAATTAGAAAGGGATTTCGGGCCCGCTTAAACACTTTGACGACCGAGGTTGTCGTATAGATACTGAACGTTTTGTTTTCCTTCATCTGCTGACGTCATAGCAGGAATCCACTGTAAAAAAGAAGTGGAAAAAGCATCTCAAACTATGTAGTAAAGCAAAGACACCAAATAGCAATATTTGCAGTTAAAAATCAGTAATTCAATAAACACGATAACATACGGCATAATACACAAAGCAAGAAAAATGTTTAATATAAGAAAGTAGTGGTCATTTAATCTGACAAGAAACATCCTGCCTTGTATCTGCTATCAGGCAGAAAGGGAGACACAGTTTTTGGTGCATGGAACCTTTGGGTTGCTTCTACTTTTCTGCAGCCTGCACATGGGCACAGAACATAGGAAGCAGCGCCTTATCTTCAGAAGCATCGGGCTGACAGCTACCATATGAAAATGAAAATTGACAGGGAGAACATAGGGGATACGAGACAAAAGCAATAATGTAGAGAAGCAACTGCATTCAGTCGTCTTTGTCTGCAGCGTAGACGTTATTGATTGTTTGTAGTTATGCGATGAGTTAACTGTTGTCCATCACCCCACAGGAAGCTCAAACCCACAAATCCCTGCCTCAATGGTCCATTAGCTGTAAAGGTCACGGAGACGACCCACAATATGAATGGAGGTACAGGAACATCAGCGAAAACGCGCGTCACACGAGACAAAGGCCTCTGAAGCCGCAACGCTTTGCCGCTCAGAGGCCTTTGTTTGCAGCACGGAGGGGGTTTCCTGCCGTGTGTCAGAAAGTATTGTCCATTTGGAGAGCAAAGTGACCTCTCTGCAACCCATCACTACACTTTGAAGGGGGTTCAAAGGGTGGGGCCCTCCGTCACCAGAAACTGACTGGCTTTGAGCCATCAACCTCCAAATCTTGAGTCTTCAAAGTCACAGAGTCACCAGTGAGGACGGCCTTGATTATAGATTTCTTTTTAATCAAGATGGTACAGCTGGTGGCCTCGGGGTGCTGCGCCACTGACGATCAAAACGCGCTCCCTTCTACAAACGAACATCCGCTGCAGATCTCAATTCCTTCGGGCCGGACCCCAAATTCAACCGAGTCGGACTGTAGCGGCGTTCTGCGGAGCGCGTAGGAAGACCCCCTTCCTTGGGTGCAGTATTGCTTTTGATCTTGCTGACGAAATGAACGAATTGCTTCTGGATTCCTCCCTCTGGGCTCTTCTGCACTACGGCGGCCGCTTTGTTTCCTGCTGCGTCATCCTTTTGAACCTCCCCGAAGCACCGATAGCGGAGATGGTTTCGACCCATTGACCTCCAGGTGAAGGACACAGCACGCTGCTGTCGACCCCCCTCAGATGGGTCTGGCTTAGCAGCCCCAAAATGTTGCATGCACTTTTCTTTTGTGGACACGTGCAGCCCCATTACCATTAAGTGTGCACCAGTGTCTGCCTGGCTACCCCCCCCCCCCCAGCCTCCCCCCTCTCACCCAGCAAGTGGTCAGAGCTGTTAGTCTCTCAGGGGGAGAGAGAGAGAGAGAGAGAAGCCCGCCGAAGATCGTCTGAGACGTTTGTTCCGATGGGTGAAGGGAAATCACACTGACTGACCAACGTCATACGTTAGGAAAAGGTAGCTTGGAATACTCAAATACATGTCGGCTTACCTCCTGATTTATTCCAGGTACTCACTCAAACGCCATGTGGTTCACATGCAGGAGTGGGCTAACACACACGTTTGTCTTTATTACAGATGGCAGTCAGAGATACCATCTTTGAGATACACGAGTACACCTGAACAAACACGTTCCCTTAAAAGGGAATGAAAAAGATTCACCGTCACAATCACAGAACAGAGGTCCTCTAAAGGCCTCGGAGGACGTTTGGATGCTTTATTAAGTCAACGCCTATTTTCCCACGTGTAGACCTCATGTTTTATTCATACACCATTGACTTGGTGAATTGGTTTGCCAAGGACGTTTAACGTCACCGGAGAATATCTGAATTGTATCATCATGAGTTGCTTTTCCACGAGTGGAGACAATGGCTGTGGCTTCTGACCTCCACACTGCTGATTATATGTGGCGGTCGTGATTCAGGCTAAAACCTGTCCTCCTATTTCCGCCAGTGTCTTTCTAGACTATTAATGTAAATGCAAATGAGTCCTTTTTCAATTGTCTGCTATTAGCATGCAAATTGCTTAGTTTTACCAAACGTTGGATTAGCTCATCAGCGTCCAGATGCATGTTTGCTCATGTGCAAGTTTGTAAATGTTCAATTTCGATGTCCGCAGGAAAAAAAGGTGCTACGCAAATAATTGTTGTTGTCCACGTGAAAAACCAGCCAAGAGACACACAAAACAGCAGCTGATTAGGCCACCGTTGGACACAACTTAAACAACTTTAATCGCCTGAAAAGGCAATTATTTGTTAGTTGTTCTTTCTTTTCCCGCTCAGTCTCCAGCCCGGCGGAATTGCTCTGACCTTAAAGACGTTGTTGCTGTCCTAGTTCGGAAAGCTAGAACTTCACCACAAAACTCAACTTTGAAATGTATCGTACAATGTTTTTGAAGTGTGAGAAACAGGAAACACTGATGCCTCTGGTCCGGTTTTCTTTTCTCATGTAAAACACAAATCTCCTTAAGAGGTGAGACCTGGTCCTTTGTGTCGGTCGTACGTCCTCATTCACTCTCCCCAACCTCACCTTTGTCTTCTCACTGTGCACTAATAAAGCCTCGGAACGCCCTCAGAGTGATATTACAAATCAAGGGACGTTTCATTATTCATTTATTCTTTCAGATCCGTTGCTATCTAGGCCAGTGCTTTCCAGGCTCAGGGCTGGGATGTTGCTGAGATGTGGATTTCACTGGGACGGTTATCTGGCACAGAATCGGGTTATTCTCGATTATTCATTTTAATGGAGGCAGTCCCCAATGCTAGCGCTGCTTGTCACCATCCAAGTGAACGTTTGCTGTTTGCTCGTCCCACTCATTAGAAAATGCTCAAGTGAGGCGGACGCTTTCTTTCTCCAAGACGTTAGTCGGGAAGTTGTTAGAATACTAATCCTGCCCAAACATGAAATACACCTGTAATCTGTTTTTAAAAAA